GCAAGATTGTCGGTGTTTCAACAGGAGCAATATTGTCGGTGCTAATACCGGAGCCAAATTATTGGTGTCTATACAGGAGCAAGATGGTTGCAGGTGCAGAGAATCGTCCCACGAAATTGTATTTTTTAGAAATATTTTTTTATACCTCATTAAGGCCCCCCCAATTAGCCCCATTTCAATGTTTGGTGATAGTTCGCCAAAAGACCCAAATTGAACCTATTCACAGGATCTCCGGATCTCTAAATTCCGTTCTCAGCTGCTGTGAAACTCATTTTATAGAGCGGGTGTAAAATGGGCTGTGAATACGTGATGTGACAGAGAATATGATAGTTCGGATGAATGTGCTGCGAGCGCTTGATTTGCATAATTCGTATTCTAGACTAAAGTGAAAATTTGTTGGCACTAAATGCAGTGAGAGAGAGAGAAATTAAAAGCGTAGAGTTCATGATTTTTTATTTTTTAACCAGAATTTGTACTAGAATTTTTGTTAATTAGAATTTGCACCGGTAGTTTGTACTTAATTATTATGTAGGTTGAGTATCACACTCCCAAACTGCGTCTTGCTAAAAGTAATATACATTGCAAATGTAACTTTGTATAATATTGAGGTTGTTGCACTCTGTATCATCGTTGCACTCTGTCTTACTGCCCCCAAAAATACAATTTTTGTATAAAATTTTCTTTGTGGAGGTGGTCGAAATTGAAACCAATACATCTGGACTATATTGTCTAAATTACAACCTTTCCAAAGGATAGCTCACATAACACAATGGTTGATGATATCATCAAGAGGAGCCTCACCTTTTCCCCCCACGGCCCAACTGAATTCCATTTTTTCCTATTAACATGTCATTCTCCCATTCCAGTTGATCGCAGAGATATAACACCATTCCATGCATGGGAGAACAGTATAGGCAGCTGAAGGGAGATCACACGTGTGTGTTCGTATTGACTGGCATTGACTTCAGTACGAGGAGAACGACAAGCTAGAGGAGCTATCACTACCCACAGGAAAATATCCTAGTCAAATAGGCACGGGTTGGGGGAGTGGGGGAACTGGACATCTATATAATTGTGTCACTGTAGATAATAGATAAATGGGTGGATAGACGGATAGTTATATGGATATCCTGATAAATGATATCCTTAATTGACAAATAAATAGGTAGATGAATGGGTGGATAGATCCATGAGTAGATAGAGAAATAGATAAATAGATAAATGGATGAATAATAGATGCACGTATGCAGTGATAGGCCGATGAATATACAACATGTATGAATAGATATATGTATGTTTTAAGTATGGCTTCAGCATATACACCTATATCTTCTATATGTTTACGGTATGGCTTTAGTATGTATGTCTTACGTATGTTACCAGTTGCTTACAATACGGCTTTCAGTATGTCTTCAGTATGTCTTCAGTATGTCTTCAGTATGTCTTTAGTGTGCCTTCGTCAAAATAAAGAGACATAAGACAAAAAATAGGTTCGAACCCTCACCACGGCTCCTGTGGAGTTCCTCATTGCTATAATGAGGAACTCACAATCACCGATAATGTGATTTCTCTGTGTAATACACAGAGACTCACTCTGTGTCTCTGTATCTCTACACCCCAGCATGGTGCCTCACACCAGTTGATTGACGGTTGAGAGTCGGGACCAAAGAACCAAAGCTCAACCCCTGCAAGCACAACTAGGTTAGTACACTGCCAACAACGGCCCAACCGTTGTTTGGGTATTGTGGCGTTGTTGTGACAACAACGTTCTCCTTCTTCCTTTGCTGCATTTCCAAAACCTATCCAAATGCACATTTCTCACACAGGACGTAGAAATAAGCGAGGCGACATATGCCGTGCATCCGTGTATGCAAAGCAGGCTTAGAAGTGATCTGCATTTTACCAATGTTGACAAGACAAGAAAAATGATCGAGGTGTGAGAGAGAGAGAGAGAGAGAGAGAGAGAGAGAGAGAGAGAGAGAGAGAGAGAGAGAGAGAGAGAGAGAGAGAGAGAGAGAGAGAGAGAGAGAGAGAGAGAGAGAGAGAGAGAGAGAGAGAGAGAGAGAGAGAGAGAGAGAGAGAGAGAGAGAGAGAGAGAGAAAGGAAAGGTTAACGCTACGATAAAATATATGAATTTATCCCGACGATAGATGGCGTTACGGAACGGATCTTGATTTTTGTTTTGTATTTGTGTATAATAGCAGGCCTGATTGTCCCGTTGCTCCTATGATCCAACAATCCTAAGGCGCATCATAGAAAAGCAAATCAGCATTGCAGTAGCAGGAGCCACCCATATCTTCACAGACGGATCGGTTGACACAGAATATGAGAGTGCTGGCGCTGCTCTTTGCACGGACAGTGAGTAGGCATATTGGAGACTGTGGAGACTGGGAGGACCAGTATCATCAACCCAAACTGAGCTGTTTGCCATACAACAGGCATTCGCATATGTAACTGCACAAAACACTTAAAATGCATAAGTGTTCATACACACAGAATCAAAAGCTGCACTTCAAATATTAGGAAAAAAAGCAGTGGAAATGTGGAAATAATTGCCACCATTTTGTATCTTGGAGCAGTAGCTAAAGGCAAAAGACTCAACATCACCCTAAACTGGATTCCATCCCATGTTGGAATCCCATGAAATGGGAAAACCGAAGATATTGCTAAACTGGCAATTCGTCATTCCAGTGATACATTAAACAATCCAACCCAGCCTAGAGAACGTAAAAACACAATCACCAAAACACTCTCACACCTCAATAAAGCCCATCTACACCAGAGAGTAGCTGAAGGTCGCCCTCTGCAATATAGTATCTTCAGGCCACCAAGTTAGACAGGTTAAATATCCCAAAATGAATCCACAGCGAAATAGCAGTTCGGTTATATTGACTACGTCTAGGTTACAGATGCAACTGGGAGATTGGTGAACCCCGACAGAGAGAATGCATCTTCTGTCAAAAAATCGCAGAAAATCCACTACTTCAGTATTACCTGGAATGTGAAGCAACCAACGACCTTAGAGGAGCTTTAAGAGTCCCTGAATCTTGCAGTAACCACCCTGAAGCCAGTAACACTGCCACTCTTCTGATAATGAAAGATGTCCAGCAGCTGGAGACCCCTCATAAATACTGTCAAGCAGTATCCTCCCCCACGACAGCAGCCTGACTATTAAATGCGACTTCAGCACACAGTATGTAATTTACTAAACAAAAAAAAAATCTATCACTTACGGGCTATTCATGCCCGTGCCACCTCTTGGGTGGCTTAATCTTCATCAATCAATCAATCTCGTTGCTGCGCCATACTGGGACAAAGGCAAGTGAAGTCTATAAATTTATCTGGATGAACATCTTCAAGGAAAAAATTACACAAGGGAATCTTTTATATAACTCACGATGTCTACGATTAATTAGTAAAAATCATCCACCATTTCCTTCCCTTTAGTAGCTTCTGTCTTATGAATTGTGAGTGAGCAAAGGAATATGGTACACATCAAAGGCGCTCCTCAGGCAACCCGTCCTCGGACGAAGTCCATTCCATCCAGCGGTCGACCCCAAAGACGCATTCATCAAGTTTAACATGCAGTTCCTCCAAAATAGGAATTTTCTCAAATATAAATTAATATTGTTAAACATTAACATATTGTGCATATTTAGGCATTGGTTAAGTTAGGTGCTTAGGTTCTGTTGGCGATTATTTGTATTTGTAGTACGTGGGTGAAGCGTTGTGGTTCGAACAAACGTCGTCAGTGAAGCACTTGTTCCGGAAGTGTTCGAACGGCATTAGTTGTGACAGTCCGTCCTCCAAACAAAGACCCAAAGTCCATTCCATGCACCCGCCAAACCCCCTGTTTATGAATGAAAAACGGTTTACACACGACTCACAACTGCTGACGTTCGAACATATCCGGAACAAGTGCTTCACTGACGAATTTTGTTCGAATCACAACGCTTCACCCACGTACTACAAATACAAATAATCGCCAACAGAACCTAAACACCTGACCTAACCTATGCCTATATATACACAATATGCTAATATATTATAATATTAATTTATACTTGAGAAAATTCCCGTTTTGAATGAACAGCATGTTAAAATTTATGAATGCGTCTGTGGGGTCGACCGCTGGATGGAATGGAGTTGAGTCGAGGACGGATTGGTAAATGCTTCACCCACGTACTACAGATATAAATAATCGCCAACAGAACCTAAACACCTAACCTAACCTAACCTAACCTGTGCCTATATATGCTCAACATGCTAATATATTATAATATTAATTTATACTTGAGAAAATTCCCGTTTTGAATGAACATTATGTACAAATTTATGAATTCTTCTGTGGGGTCGACCGCGGGATGGAATGGAGTTGAGTCGAGGACGGGTTGAATTATCAACATGAGGTCCAATGCCGTGAAGACTGTAATTACTGGTGATAATTACAAATTAATTACTCTACACTCAATCCCATTTTGTCTAACATCCAGGAAGTGTTTAATATGTTTAGTACTGCTTTGTTGCATTTCAATTTCTCGCGACAATACAGAAACGTTTAGGCAACGTTTTCTTTCAACTGATGCGTCTGTTCACCTTGTACCTGGGAGTTCACCTTGTACCTGTTTTAGGCTTCATCTCTGGGAAGGTCAGGAGAAGGCTTAGGGGTGGAATTTGATGAGCCTAATAGCCTTCTTTTCCAGACTATTCAAAACCTCATATGGGCACGTGGTACAGTTGGCTTCATTGTCGACTCACGTTATGGGATCCAGGGTTTGATTCCCGGGCGGGACAGAAAGGGTTAGGTATGTTTCTGTTCACCTAATGACGCTGTTCAACTAGCAGTAAATAGGTACCTTTGAGTTAGGCAACTGTTGTGGGGTTGCATCCTGGGGAGGGTCAGACATTACGGGACCTCGGTGCAAACCTTACCTGGATCTTACCTGGAGGGGATTCTGCGAGTTCTACTCTTCAAGCCCGGCTACGGCCAGGCATGACTTATGAGAGCTTGGTCCAACGGACTGTTGCTTCAAGCGGCCCCGAAGTCATCACAGAGACCTCTTAAGTCGCCACAGAGACCTCATAAGTCGCCACAGAGACCTCATAAGTCACCACAGAGACCTCTTAAGTCACCACAGAGACCTCTTAAGTCACCACAGAGACGTCCTAAGTCGCCACAGAGACCTCATAAGTCGCCACAGAGACCTCATAAGTCACCACAGAGGCCTCTTAAGTCCCCACAGAGACCTCATAAGTCACCACAGAGACCTCTTAAGTCACCACAGAGACCTCTTAAGTCACCACAGAGACCTCTTAAGTCGCCACAGAGACCTCATAAGTCACCACAGAGACCTCATAAGTCACCACAGAGACCTCATAAGTCACCACAGAGACCTCTTAAGTCACCACAGAGACCTCTTAAGTCGCCACAGAGACCTCATAAGTCACCACAGAGACCTCATAAGTCACCCCAGAAACCCACCAACCAACGGACGCCACCTACTTCCATGTTCTTGCTAATCCCAGACAGTTGCTTCACGTTTAACAGTAACAGGGCATCATACAATTATTTAACAGAAAATGTAACATTACACCAGTGTTAAATTTTCTGTGCTGCAGTAAACCACCTTTACCATTACCTTCACACCTTTACCACCTCTTTCATTCAACATCAACCTGAGTCTGACTAACCATTTGCCACCTGTTCTAAGGACTTGACAGTAGACCAGTACGAGCCGAAAAGTCGTCAATTCTTGTAGTTTCCGATGTGTGGGTTGGGTGTCTACCTCTCTTTCATCTTCTGTCCTAGTTACTCGTTGTGGCTAGCTCTCACTTACCAGATCTTCCTTCTGGACCTGGATAAAGATGTACTTGGATGACGGAAGAGTTTAGGACCTGGATAAAGGTGTACTTGGATGACGGAAGAGGCTAGGACCTGGATAAAGGTATACTTGGATGACGAAAGAGGCTAGGACCTGGGTAAAGGTGTACTTGGATGACGGAAGAGTTTAGGACCTGGATAAAGGTGTACTTGGATGACGGAAGAGGCTTAGACCTGGATAAAGGTATACTTGGATGACGAAAGAGGCTAGGACCTGGATAAAGGTGTACTTGGATGACGGAAGAGTTTAGGACCTGGGTAAAGGTGTACTTGGATGACGGAAGAGGCTAGGACCTGGATAAAGGTATACTTGGATGACGAAAGAGGCTAGGACCTGGATAAAGGTGTACTTGGATGACGGAAGAGGCTAGGACCTGGATAAAGGTGTACTTGGATGACGGAAAAGGCTAGGACCTGGATAATAGTGAACTCGGATGACAGAAGAGGTTAGTCATATTTTAGGCTAAGATCACAGTGTAATCCACTGACAGGTGGTTAGATCCTGGATTAATCCACTAGCAAGCACAAGACTCTTCATCAGAGTGTAATCCACTGATTAGTGCGGATTTGGTCCAGGATCAAGGTGTAATCCGGTTACTGTGGTTGCTTGACCCCTGGAAATATAACTCGCTTGTTCCAAAGCTCATCGGAGAGCTCCTCAGATGAATTAAATACAGCTAATGCAATGTTAATATATATGATTTGTTGTATATAAATATAGGGGGAGGAATGAGTCGAGGTAACGAGGGAGAACGTCAGTGACGTCAGTGTCGTAAATGTTATGGGTTAACGTAATTAATAATGAAGGTTTTTGTTCTCACATGACGTATTTTTTTTTATTTAACCTAAATAAGGCTATTTTTTTTTACCTAAATAAGGCTATTTGTTTAACGTAAGTCTAAGGCTCGTTGCGGGTGATGAAGATAGTGATTTTGATGACGTTGGCAATGATGGTGACGAGTTGACAGGAGGCTAGGGGTGTGGGGGGGCTAGGGTTGGTGGGGGGGGGGCTAAGTTTGACGGCGGCTAGGTTTGTTGCAGGCTAGGGTTGGTAGGAGCTAGGTTTAATGGGAGCTAGGTTTTCTGAAGGGCTAGGTTTGGTGTGAGGCTTAACATGTTAAGATGTAAGAAAAACTAACGTATGTGCTTTCATGCAATATTCCCTGTCACCTCCAGTGGCTTGAGTACCCAACCGCATCATGCAATATTCCCTGTCACCTCCAGTGGCTTGAGTACCCAACCGCATCATGCAATATTTCGGGGCACGTCAGATGTCTGGATACACAGGTGCAACATGCAACATTGCATGGGCTGACTAGATCTTACTGAATTATTTTCGTTTTTGCTCCAGATATCATTCGAAGCATTTCTGATGTTGATATTTCATTGTCTCTGTTTTCCTTGATTCAAAACTCATTTTGCAATCAATATATTCACAAAGTACATTGCAATCAATATATTCAAGAAGAAGCTTGCAATCAATATATTCGAGAATTAGATTGCAATCAATATATTCAAGAAATAGATTGCAATCAATATATTTGAGAAGTAGATTGCAATCAATATATTCAAGAAATAGATTGTAATCAATATATTTGAGAAATAGATTGCAATCAACATATTCGAGAAGTAGATTGCAATCAATATATTCAAAAAGTAGCTTGCAATCAATACGATTCCCGTTGTCGGGGACAGGAAGCCAGGACTCTGAGATATAGCTGAATAACTACTACTGATTCAACTAGACCAACTACTGATTTTCCCCCCCGGGATGCCACCAACACCAGTCGCGTAACTCTCGGGGTCCCAGTGTAACTGCAAGGTGCACAGAGGCTTCAGGTGATAGGAAACATGCTTAACTGTTTCTATGTTGGCCTGGAATGGAATTCCCCTGTCCCTCGATTGTGAACCGAGAATGTAGACTATTGTGCTACAGGACGCTTCTAGCAATCGAGATTTAACAAATATTCTTTATATTTAATATTTCTACACTACCTCGACCCACAAGCTTCTTTGTAAATCTAGCATGTACTTAGTTATAGGTAATTACATACCAGTTTATGTAAATTAATGAATTTGTGTAAATTAATGAATTTGTCTAAATTAAAGATCTTGTGTAAACTTGAGAAATCTTCGATTGTTTGCCTTCAGCCTCTCTGTCAAAGTCTTCTGGGATCTCTCTGGTTCCAGATCAATCAAAGGTAAAGTTCAAGGCTTCAAGAAATATGACACTGACCCCTTCGAGGTAAGAGTTACAGTGGAAACGACCTCGTTTGTAACGTCTTCAGCCGCCCAACCACTTGGACTGGACGGTAGAATGACGGCCTCTCTTGTTTACAGGCCGGTGTTCAATTCCCCGAGCGTCCCAAGTGATTGAGCACCATTCCTTTCCTTCGTCCTATCCCAAATCTCTATCTTCATATCTCTTCCGAGTGCTATATAGTCTTAGCAATTTCTTCAGATGATTACCTACCCTTCTAGAATTGTCTTAGGCACGAATCTTAATTTTCTTCTTCCCTTGGGGACTAATTATCCCCCTCCCGATTTGGATGGTGGATATTGATTTCATCTAGGCTCGTAATGTGTGTGTCTGTGTGTGTGAAGAATTGAGTGTAACTGAAGGGTTGAGGCTCAGGGCTATGATGAGCTCCTGTCTGTTTCACTCATCAGTCTTTTCTCTCAATATGTGACTGATTGATTGACCAACTGACTGTCTGTCTGTCTGTCTCATGCTCCCTCTTCCCATCCTTTCTCTCTTTCTCTCTCTCATCTCTCTCTCTCTCTCTCCTCTCCTCTCTCTCTCTCTCATCTCTCTCTCTCTCTCTCTCTCTCTCTCTCTCTCTCTCTCTCTCTCTCTCTCTCTCTCTCTCTCTCTCTCTCTCTCTCTCTCCCTCTCTCCTCTCTCTCTCTCTCTCTCTCTCTCTCTCTCTCTCTCTCTCTCTCTCTCTCTCTCTCTCTCTCTCTCTCTCTCTCTCTCTCTCTCTCTCTCTCTCTCTCTCTCCTCTCTCTCTCTCTCTCTCTCTCTCTCTCTCTCTCTCTCTCTCTCTCTCTCTCTCTCCTCTCTCTCTCTCTCTCTCTCTCTCTCTCTCTCCTCTCTCTCTCTCCTCTCTCTCCTCTCTCCTCTCTTTATTCACTTGGACCCCAGACTGTTGAAGAACAAGGTGTGCAAGAGAGGAGAAGTGTGTGTGCACAAAGAGATAGTGAGGGATAAATAAATTGGTGATTATTATTAGTAAAAGTTAATTAGAGTATATGTGGAAAACATTGGACAGCTGAGTGGACTCCAGCGATATACAAAAAGGTTAAATTGCATATTGTGTTTGGGCCTATCAAATTCAAGAGGGCTATTGGGGCCGATTAACTTCTTGAGGGTTATTGTGGCCACCACAATTCCTTTCACAACAACCAGCAAGTATACTTTTGTCCTGAATATTGCACGGGGGACTGAAATATACTCTCATTGTATATATATACACCGAAAAAACGTGGTAATGCTTCCCTAGCAAATAGTTTACAATTATTATTTTATTTCAGTACGAACGAAGGTTATGGAAATCATTGGTCGAAATGCGTGCGGCATGTGTAATGTATTTTGTGTATTCGAAATGAGGTATAAATGTATAGGATATACAAGACTGGAAATCAATCATTGTTTTCGTGAGAAGCTGATATCTCGTCCTGATTACTTGAAGGAGAGCTGGGGACGTCTGGATCAGATCACCTTAACACATTCAGCCCCAGAGTAGTGAGGTCTGAGCTCAAATTAAAAATAAAATAACAAAACACAACTGACCTGAGCAATACCACAGAACATAGATGTTCCTAAGCCTTGCAGAAATGCATTGCATGAAACAAGAGCAAAAAAGGAAAATTTATTGGTGTTGAAGTGGGAGTAGCAATGTTGCAGAGTAGCAGCAGAACTAGGATCAGCTGCAACCCCAGCAGCAACACCAGCAGTGCCAGCAGCAGTGCCACCAGCAGTGCCAGCAGCAGCAGTAGCCAGGGCTGCACCCCTCCTGTCCTACTGATCTTGTTACCAACTTTTACCTCAGTTGGTGGAGGTGTGGGAAATTTACCAATTCTCTCCTTGAATACACCCAGGAACCTCCTCTCCCTGGATTCATCAAGGCATTTGCTATTTCTAAATACACTCTGGAAAACGGTCTGGATATAGCCAGAATCTCGTTTTAGATCAATCCAGGATTCCTGTCTGGATTCACCCAGAGAAACATTCTTACTTTGGGTGAATCTTCTCACCCAGAGTGAGAAGAATTGAATCTGGGTGTATATCTGTCTTCTCACTCAAGATATACACATAAACCTTCGCTTTCTAGATACACCCAGAAACCACAAGTCTTCCAATGAAAAATGCATTCAATCAAGCTAAAAAAAAAAACCACCCGTGAAGAATAAAAAAAACAGCAATCAAAACCCAGAATAGCAATTACAACTTCAGGAGATATACAATGACATCACATCTGAAGGGAAAATGCATGTATGCACATTCCAGGCAAAACTACGACTTTTCTTGTAATGCTTTTCCATGGACAGCGGCGCAGCAAATTGTCGTGGAAAGCAGAGTGTGTGAGTCAATTTCGGCAGCCATCAGCTTCGTGCCGTGTATCGAAACAGCTGAAAACTGTTTGTGTGTGTGTTTGTGTTTGCTTTTAGGATTTGCAACACACTTGCAAAGATTCTTTAGCGAAAAGTAGTTTCTAAGGC